TTTTTTTTTTTTTTTTTTTTTTTTTTTTTTTTTTTTTTTTTTTAATTTTTTTGGCCTGCTCTTTGGGAGTCCAGAGTGAAAGCAACTCCTCAGATAATTGTTTGTAACGTTGTTGATAAAAAGTGGCAAACGGTATGTGAAGCATGTAAGGTAAGGAGGATTCCTCGCCTTCAATTTACTTTTTTCTAGAGGGGAAATGAGGGATTCTCACAGGAATTTTTATAATTAAAAAGGCTACTTCATTTTAAATTTTATTTTGACAGCCGTCCCAGTATCTTCTCTGCCCTTGATCCCTTCTCATGTTGCTTTCTCTAGAGTGGGCTTGGGTGTCAGGTCTGCCCACACCGTGAAGCCCAGCTCTGGCCCCGCATAGGAAGTTCCCCGACTCTGGTGGTTCATTCCTGCCTCGGTTCCTGATCTCCCGAGATCCATTCAGGTTTTCTGATCATGATCGTCAGGCCACCTCGGCAGAACCTGTGCTTGAAGCCTCTTGCCCAGTGTCCCTCGTGTGGAGAACCCTGCGTGCTACATAGTCTCTTTTGTCCTTGCTCATCTCTGACCTCCACCCTGGTCAGCCTGTGTATGTGGGATCAGGCATCACTTCCTTGGTCTAGCAAATTCTAATCTTTGGATCTTGTACATGATTCCTGGGATAATTTGCTTAATGCTTGCCCTGAAAGCTTCCTTTGAACATAGCAGTCGGTTATTAATATTGCTCTCAACATTTAGATTTAATAGAATATTTTATTTTATTTTAAATTTTATATTTATTTCATTTCTGAGAGAGAGAGAGACAGAACATGAGTGGGGGAAGGGCAGAGAGAGAGGGAGATGCAAAACCTGAAGCAGACTTCAGGCTCTGAGCTGTCAGCACAGAGCCTGATGCAGGGATGAAACCCACAAACTGTGAGATCATGACCTGAGTTGAAGTCAGACGCTTAACCAACTGAGCCAACCAGGTGCCTCTAGAATATTTTGTTTTTATTTTTTTTTAATTTTATTTATTTTTGAGAGAGAGAGAGAGCAGAGGAGGAGCAGAGAGAGGGGGAGAACAAGACTACAATGTGAACCATGAGATCATGACCTGAGCTAAAACGAAAAGTCAGATGCTTAACAAATTGAGCCACCCAGGTGCCCCAGATTTAATAGGATATTTGAAAACAAATAGGGTTTTTTGGTGAAAAATATAATACCTTTTACATTGACTTCCCTGTGATTTCCTAAAAACTGTGAATTAACACTCTCAGCTTGAAGATCATGTTTGTAACACTGGTAATTACACCGTCTCCCCAATCTTCATTTTTTTTCCTTTAATTATTTAACTGTTTTTTAGTTGAAATGTGATTTAGTGGTTTCTCACTAAAAAACAACCTAAAGAAATTTAATTGTTTCTAAAAGAAGTGCTCAAACATATTCTCACAATTTATTCATTGAATATGTGCAAGGAAAATTGAATACAGATAGGTTACTCTTCCTGACAGGTTAAAGCAGTTAGGTTTATGGACTGTCCCAGCTGTATTATTGGAAAATAAATAAAATGTATTATGCTGGATTATCTCCCCTTTGTCATTCTTAGCATTAGGTCAAGACAAATATTTCAACCTGTGGTGTTATGTAAATATTCCTGTGCTTTGTTCTTCCAAGTATATTAAATCATTTGAATTATACTGTTCCAGCTTCATATAAGTGGGAAAAGGCCTTTCTGTTACTAGTAAGACAAATATATTGGCAGTCCTGGAGTCATTTATATTATCTTCAAAATGACACGTTTTAATTAAACTTACTGAAAACATTAGGAATTTACTTCATTATGGTAATGGTTGTTGGGGCTAGTGGGAAACCAACTTTTTTTCCCCACATCATTTTAAAACAAAAACAAATCCATAATTATGGTGACACTTTTAAGAGATTAATTTATATTCGATGTACACAGAGTAGAGAGTCTTGGTAACATAGTAAGTTGAGAATGTAAATTGTGCGCTCTCTAAACTTTCTGTCAACAGATGGTTTGACAGCTTGGCTCTAGAACTGTGCCTTCCAGGATGGTGGCCGTCACCACACCCGGCTAGCCTAAATTGAATTGTGATGTGATTGTAGAATACGCAGCACATTTCAAAGCCTTGGTATAAAAAACACAATGTACCATATTCTGTTAATACTTTCAGTGTTGATTAAGCATTGGACTTAATAATCTTTTGGGTATACATAAGATATTAAAATTAATTTTGTTTGCTTCTTTTCACTGTTTTAATTTGGCCACCAGAAAACTAAAAATTACATCGGTTGCTTGCTGCTGTGGCTTGCTTTATGCTTCTGTTGGGCAGCACTATTCTACACACGAGGAAGATGAAGTGGGTGTATTCACACCCCTTGTATTTATCTGTTGAAGAATCATGACGTCTAATATCAAGCTTCAAGTTGGCGAATGCAGAGTAACGATTCAGATTCCCATTGCGGGAAACTGATTCAGACTGTAAAAGTAAACGTGTTACTTTTCTGTAACTTTGTTTTCCCTCCATGAAATATCCAATTCTGGTAAGCACCCTAAAAAAGACGGAGAAAGGCTTAAGAGTTTCAAGGGAGAGAAAGTGTCCAAGGCATTTGTATTTTGTGGCAACCTATGTGAAAAAGTTAGGGCACCCTGGGTTTAAAGAGATAAAATTAAGCAATTATGAAAGGCAGATGATAGATTTAGGGATATTAGTGCTTTCTTTCTGGGGCTTGAGTAGGAAGGACTGATAGGAAATAAATATAAGAACTTATTTATCTCTCAACTGAATAACCATGGGCCAACTCACCAAAATCCAAAACACTATAGCTATAGGTTTCTGGAGTGGCTAATAACAATGTCCAGCTACATACTGTGGGGCTGCCTTACAAACACAGTCCTTTTATATGAATTCTTTGTTCTGAAGAGCTTTGGGATATTTTCTCAAATTCTCCTAAGTTATTCAGAAGATTTAAAGTTTACAAAGTCTTAGTCCATCAGTTGACAGAGGTTCAAGGTAGAAATGAGTTCCAGGTATGTTTATATCAATAAGAAATCGTTAAGTATATGTTTTTAGAGTATTTTCTGCTATTACAAAGAAGGCAGTCATCTTATTCTTGAACATTCTCTGTTACCATTGACTTGCTGTGGA